TTTATTTTTTTTTTTTTTTTTTTTTTTTAAGAAAGATTAGTCATCCATCTATCCAGCCATCCATTCATTCACTTTTCCACCTATCTTCCTTTCTATCTAATCTACCTGCAGGACATAAAAAAATGAGACTGTTGCTGTGGTATGGAGAGAATAGATTCACTGGCCGTGATCGATATTTTCTCATCCAAAATAACCTTTTTGTATGATTCATGTGTTTTCATTTTCAGAATTTTCAATAAACTCGACAATATTACAGAGAAATCAGTATTATCTCCGACATCTTCACCGTTTTCTTGCTAGCGCTCCTGAGGTTGGGGAGGATTCTTCCTGGTTTCTTTGCTACAATGCCACCTCACATGGTTGGGGAGCCAAGACCTTCCATGATAGATGCGACGGTAAAAAAAATACTGTGACTATCATACAGAAAGACCAATATGTCTTTGGAGGATACACTGACATTCCTTGGGGTAAGATTTGATATTAAGTACCTTCAAAAGGGCTTTAGTGCCACGGGTGTTTCACCGACACCTTAAAATACTCCTACAGGTGTTCCTCGTCACTGCATTATGATTCCAGCAATAGTACTCGGATTGTAGTTTACAGCAGGGTAATGGTTTGATAGAAAGCGAGAAATACGATTTCCTAAATAGTGAATTATTTGCCAGAGAAACACGCCTCGATACGCCGTTTATACTATACTTAAGCTCTCTACGTTTCACTCGTTCAAATGAGTTAAATTCTGACAACATTCAGGATTTGTTCGCGGAAAGGAGCTATATTATTTATAAAACGGCGCCCCGTATAAACGCCCGGCGTAATTCAAAGTAAAAAGATAGATTCTGCATTCGAGCCAAGTGGCCCACTAACATGAAGCGGTCGGTATTATTGCTTCCTTCCTTTTGGATAAAATGATATTCCATCGCAAGGTTACGTGATGTGATACGGAAAAGAAATACTATCTCCATCATAAAGAAAAGCCCATTGGCCTTTGGAAAATACAATGACATTCCTTGGGGTAAGATTTTATATTGACTTTTATGTATCTTTAGTAGATAAAAGATTCAAGGGCTTTGGGAGGAGGGACTGAAAATCAGCCTGACATAGAGTGATGTTACGTAGCGCCTCCTGCCGACTTACATTTGCATGTTCTCTCTTTATACCGTACTGTAACGTTTTTCGACGGCTGTGTCTGGAGCACTACCTCAAAACTCTAACGCAGTGAGGCAAAGCCAACCATTTCAGAACAGTCGGATTGAGCACAGTGATTATTATTGTTAGCGAGACAGCTTTTTGAAAGAAAAACTAATATGTTGCCCCCTCCCTTGGGCTATGAACTCACAGTCCTTTACCTCAACGACTCCTTGCGAAGTGAGCGGCCGTAAGGCGACACGCGGAGCGTGATAATATTCCTTTTAGTGGAAGCGGCATTTTGGCCGATGCGCGAGACAAGGAGAGAAGCAACCTCGTTCCCAGGGTTCACTCCTATTCGTCCCTACTGAGCGAGAGAGATAGGGACGGTTAGGAGAGAACCCTGGAAACGAGGTTGGGGGAGGAGTAAAAAAGCGCCTGTTACCAGTCCATTGTTCTGGCTTTTCCCACGTTCACTGCATGGACGTCGCGCTCCAATTGGTTAATTGATGACGCGCGTTGTTCTGGCGAGATTCTGGCATGTTTGTCTGGAACAAAATGGCCGTCACGCACTTCATGTTCTTTTGACGATGCTGTTAGAAAAAGTTCTTAGTTTATTTCCAAAACTGTTCCAGAAATAAAGGAAAAAAAAAAGTTAAAATTCATTGTTCAAGAAGAAAGATGTTGTTGAATATCTTTCATCTGGGTTTGAAAAAGGCCTGATTTACTAACATTTTTGAAATTAGGCGTTAACAGGCCAAGCACTACTCATAAGCTCGTGATAATGTGAAACGTAGACTTGGAATTTGTTTGAATTACAGGTTCTCCCTCTTTTCTTTCTCGCCGCTGTGTTTGGACATAAACTGAACTTTGACTGAGCAAACCTTACTTTTGCCGTACTGAGTCTTACATTATTGAGGTGATTCATTTCCTCGTAGCTGTTATTTTCTGTGGTTTATGCTGCTGTCGGTGTTTGTGTTAGCCAAAAAAGGTAACCAGTTTCGAGTAGTGGATCGACTTTTCATTGGCCCTTTTAACATCACCGCCGTCAGTCAATATTAATTTGTGGCGGTAGTTTGGAGGAAGAGCCAGAAAAATGGACTCTTTACAGGTGCTTTATTTTTTCTTCTCCCCTCGTCTCGCCTTTCGCGCAAAAAGCCGCGTTTGCATCGCCTGGCTCATAAAGCGCCTATTATGCAGGCTAGCGAGGAATGTGAGTGTACAGCGAGGCAGAAACGCGACTTAGCTTTATATGCAACTCGACGCCACAATCGATGACGTCACTGCGACTGCCAACCAGTGACGTCATCGATTGTGGCGTCGAGTTGCATCAAGCTGTCCAAGCAACACCACTACAAGTGGGTGCAAAGGCCAATATATTCGTTCATCCTTTGTGAAAAAATGTTTACTGATGGTTATTTCTCCTGGGTGACGAAATGTTTACTGCTGGTAAATAATACTGTACAACGCTGTAAAGAGACTTATATTCTTCAAATGTGATGAATTGAGTTAAAGTACGGCTTTTACCTTCAAAACCCCGCTTATTTTCCTCGAATATATCTATGAATTCTTGATAAATACAGTTCTACTAGCTTCTGACAGCGTCTATTGACAGAATTTTACGACGAAAAGTTTTAAGACGGAACCCATCAGGAAATTGAGTAATTTTAATTTTCAGTGGACAAAAACCTTGTACCAGAATAATTTTCTTTTTTACATGTTTCACGGGCTACAGATGTAATTAGTTATCTGTAATAAAACCAAAGACTATTTCTCCTGGGAGCTCAAGAAAAGAAACGTCAAATTTCACAACAATTCTGAAAACATAGGTAAAATTTTGAAAATTTTATATGTAAGACGCCATTTTTTAAAATTTGACTTTTAGTTTCTCGGGCTCTCATAAGAAATTTTCTTTGGTGTTATTACAGATAACTGATTACATCTATAGCCCTTGAAAAATGTAAAAAAAAGAAGCAATATTGTTTAGAATACTCTGGTACGAGGTTTTTGTCCACTGAAAATTGGAATTACTCAATTTCCTGGTCGATTCCGTCTTAAGGTGATTCCTTAGTAAAAGAACCTAACATAGCTTGTAGATAAAACTTGGTACACTGATGTAAAAAGTCAAGAAGATGATTAAAAAGTAACAAAAAGTGGGGGACACCGTGCTTGTTTTGACGTCACAAAGCTAACAAATACTGCTGTTTAGGACCCTTTGACAAAAACCGCGCGCATCCCAAAACTAGACAAAAAGGGGAGATTTTTTCGATGATGCATGTGGTATCGCACAGAATTTGAATTAAATGTATTGTTTATCCACTTATGTACCAGAAAAATGCCTTTTTCCCCCCTTGTTTTTACTTTACGCTCCAAAGTAGACTTAATTTTAACACGCGCTTTTGGACCCATTATAGCTCAATCCGCACAATTTAGTAAAACTGCCAAAAAACTGAACATAGATTCTTGCCAATTTTTTCTCATTGAAAGGAAGCACTGCTCTTATCAAAATCATGAAATAAAATATGGGGGTCACCGTACTCCTTTTTGCGGCAGAGCTGCAAAAAGTGCGCACCACATGTAATTTCTCCAATTTTTGAGAGAGGACTGGGGCGAGTTTCAAAATGGCATGTATGTGGAAGTTCAGGGTGGAAAAACGTTCTGCGCAAGCTTCTGCGCATCCCTTATCGCAGGCTCAAGGCGGGTTTTTCTGTGTGTTGACTGTGTTCGACTGTTTGTTTGTTTGTCACTGAGAGAGTTCTGACTAAGACTGAATTAAATGTACAAGGCGTGAACGTTTGCTTCTCGAAAAGCCTTTTTACTTTTGTGTGGTTTTTGTTCTTCGTCCCTTGAAAATTACTTGGACTCGGAACAACCAATGTTAAGGAAAAAAACCGATCATCCCGTCAGTCTCTGAGGTGGAATAAGGAGTTTTGAACATTTCCAAAGAGGCGAGTATTTTTCTGATTGTTCATTCGATTTAATTGTGAGTTGATTTCGCCTTGTTTCGCCAGGCTGAATTTAAACCCGCTTTTTTTTTATTAGTAAATACTTTTTCGCATGCACAGAACCAGCTTTATCCTTCTCTTCATTGAAAGAACCATTTTGTGCGCCGTAAAACTTTCTCGGAAATAGAAGGTCAGTAAACTTACTCGAGAAGAAAAGACTACTTCGATCATTTTTCTGTTGCTCAAGTACTAGTAGTCAGAGTTTCCTTCACTTTTAATAACATAGTTTTGTTTTCCAGTGCACTGTTAAAATAACAAATAACTTTCTGTACGCAAGTGTTCCTTTTCACTCGCTGTGAAGTAGAGAATGAGAACTACTGGCAGTGACTTCAAAACAATTCACTCCGTCCGTAACAATTGCTGGAGCTGGATTTGTCTGAGGCGAGCAAAACAAATACCCTTATGTGCAGTTTTCAGAATTTTCTAAGGATTGGCTGAGTTTAATTTGCTTGAATGAAGACCCTCACAAGGACCAGTTATTCACTGAGTTATTAAAGCGAGGAAAATAGCCACATGGTGAATCATGGTTTAGCTGCGAAGCTCCCTTCAACTGATCTTTTGCATTTAAGATCTTTAGGTAGGTTGTTTTCGTACAAAAAAATTCAATTCTTCATTGTCAGCAAGGAGTTTTTGCAATAATGTAATTTAACTTTGTTTGAAGGAAATCCTACTTACGCGTAGGTTTTTGACAGACATTATGCATGTTCAACTTGACAACACAAAGCATAATTCATATTTATCTCTTAGTACGCGAAACGATCAAGTTTAAAGATAAACTATAGTTGCTTTGGAACCGATTTTGGGGAAGTTTTTACTAGATAAAGATTGACTCTTTTTCTGCCCACACATCGACGCCAAAACTTAACATAGAGGATTTTGTTTACATTTCAGTGATCTGCAAAGCTACAAGTGTCCGATCGAGCGTGGGTTTAAAATACCAACTTGAATGCGACAAAGTTCAGCGACTTCAAACACATTGTGGGCATGCGTTATTTTTTGGGGGGAAATCACTTTACAAGGATATTTTGCTTTTGTGTCCACAGTGGAGCTCTTGACGTTACATATCCAGGAACTTCCTTACATGAACACATTTTGTGAATAGCTTGCAACTTTTGAAGACAAATTGCTTGTTCTTTCCTGGTTAAGAGTGGAAACGTATTATTATTAGGCAAAAAAAAATTGAAATCTCGCCATTTTTTTAAACCCGGCCAGGGGATCTGGGCAAAAAAGTTCACGCATGCTCATTACGTTTTTCCACCCTAAAATGTGGAAGGGGGAAGAAATCATTAAAAAAACCGTTTTTTACAGAATTTACATCGAGATATCACAGTTAGGACGCAATGTGATAAAGATGGCGCTTAAATGAAAATCAAAGTGAGTTAGCTGGAGTTTAAACTTCTATTATCGAGGTTCTCCGTGAGGAAGTCGAACTGAGCAACACGCGTACTGCTTACGTTATGCACATTTCCAACACTTAGAGTCTCATTTTGGCAAGAAACAACCGCTAGCAAAAATTCTTGTTGCGTTTCTCTTTAGTTACCTTCATTTTAATAATGTTACTTTAGATGCACTTTTTCACGGCAGCCATCTTGTTTTGCGCAGTAAGAGATGCGCAATGCAAAACCAGTGAATCACCTTAAATATTATAATTTCACCCCGTTTTGTGGTTACTTTGTTTTGTGTGTGTGTTTTTTTAACCATATTGTTTTTACCTATTGGCAGGTTTCAATTTCTTTGTATTGTTTTCGCGAGGTGTTGCGATAAATGATTTCTAGTAGTAACAATAATCAGATTGACAAATAAAAATGACTTCATCGCACAAATAGCCTATTTTGCTGTCTTCTGAAAGGAAAATATACATGGTAACAAAAATGTTAATCAAAAAAATCAAAAACATGAAGTGAATTCAATTATTTGAAATTCCTATTATATGTTTTTTATGTTTTGTTTTGTTAGAATCCAGTGGTAACTATGCCGAAACCCCCAACGCGTTTATCTTTTCTCTCAACAATTTTGGAGGGCTGGCACCGTTTGTGAGCAAGGTGAAGCCACAATATACAGAACTCGCAATTCAGAGGCATTCATTTTATGGTCCAAAGTTTGGTCAGGACCTCATCATTTATCTTGGTGCCGGGAATATTCATCTCTCAAAAGCTGGCTTGGGCATGGCCTACGCTGATCCACCTGCAAAGCAGGACCCGCTCACGGTCCTGGCCGGGACTAAGTACTTCTCACCTAATGAGGTGGAGGTATTTTATCTTGACCCATCCCGCTAAATGCAAGATAACACGAACTGAGTTCAGCTAAAAACTAACCGATGTATTTAATCAGAAACTCATAAGGGGTTGAAACGTGTAACTCTCATATGTTTGCTTTGTCTGATACTCGTGATTATTCATTTTCAAAAGTACCATATTTCGAACGAGAAGAAGAGATAACTGACCAATCAAACTTCGTAAACAACGTGACGTAATTTTACTTTACGTTCCCGCGCCCGCTTAAAAAAATGGCCGACAAACGGGGTAAAAACTCCCGGAAGCCGAGAAAGCTTTCAAAGGTTGAAACCAAATCTTACCCAACTACTGAGCAGGATATCATTGCCTTACCACCCGGGCCAAACGTAACATTATGAAACCCATTGACATCCTCGCAACTTCTTGAAGTTGTCACTTCAAAAAGCGATGCCTCGTTGATTGACCCTCTGCACAGTAAACTTATACTGCAAATAGGCCTTTAAAATTCTTATATTACTAGTCTAAAGTAAACAGTAAAAAATATTTTCGAATATAATTTGTTAGCTGCGTATCGAAAAAAAACTGAACCTGACATCTTCGCAAAAAGTGATGCGTGTAAGTAATGTGAGAAGCATTTAAGCTTAAATTAAGCTTGGATGTGGTGGTCACGATCGTGTTTTGAGCTAATTTCATGAATGAACAAAGTCAAAACAATAGACAGAGAAGCCGTTTCTTGGAAATTTTGGGCGTCTGGAAAAGCCGGAAACCGGAATCCAGAAAAGGAACGGGAATAGGAACAGGAACAGGAAGCGGAACCGGAATAGGAACCGTAATGGAAAGAGGAACCTATATAAAGACAGGCTATAGAAAGAACTCGTGGGAACCCTGTTTAGAAAACGATAAAGTGGTTATCAACTCTGGTTTTCCTACACTGAATTATAGGAAATGGTAGAAATTCAGATTGTTCACTGGCCATAAATTTAATATACGGTGTACTATCTTTTCTCTGGAAACAGGATACTTTTCTTGCTGTTAATTGCACTTCATTAAATAACAGTTAGGTATATATTTATAGAAAACAGCAACACAAAAAACGGAAGAAATAAAGAAAGAAGGAAAAAAGAGTTGCCTAGACTCGAACCCGGCACGTTCGGCTCGACGCGACTACACCTAACCACTACACAGCACAGGCTGATTACGTAACCTTGGGGGATATAATTTAATGCTTTTTCCATGACACTTCCGGCGGCAAGATGATCGCCAGCCGCATTAACCGAGCTATTAACAGTAAAAAACAATGTAAACGCATATTTCGTGGCAATGAATGAATGAAAGAACATAATTATGCTTTTCAAAACGCCGATACACGACCTCGTCTGCAAAGTAGCACGCAAAACATATGTTTTGTTATCTCGATTTCCGCTGTTATTTTGAAGCTAATGGTCAAAATCACATCCATTTTCGGCTCATACAGGTTCTTACGAATAGCATAGCATGACATTTTCTCACTTTCACATCACCTTCTAGCAAGCTGGAAATCCGCCGTGTTGCGGAGTCGAAGAGCAAATGCTCATCTTCTCGTCAAGCTTAACGCCTGGACGAGTCAAAGGCTCATGAATTGAAATCCAATCGCCAAGTTCAACCGGGGGAGGGGGGGTGGGACTCCGCTTATGAAAGGGGTGGGGATGCTCGTCGGAATCAATTAAACCCCTAAAGGAAACCGATCTGGGTAGGGCCCAAGATTTTTTTGACCCCTAAAAGAGACCATGTTAAACGACACAGACAATATATATATTTTCACGTGCAACCCTAAACGAGACCTTCACGGCTAAATATGATGGTGTTTTGCCCAGAACACCCTATGTGAGACCAAAATCCGAAATTTATACCCCTAAGGGAGACGACGAGCATCCCCACCCCTTTCATATGGGGAGCCCCCCCCCCCCCCCCGGGGGAAAGTTCCCCCCCCCCCCCACCTAAAACACCCCTCCCTTTCTTAATTTTGTTAAACCCTCCAACCGCGGGCTGTAGCATTAAAAAGAGAACACGACCACCCCCATCCCGGGTGGCCAGAAGCGCACGAGTGTATGGCCCCGAGCGAGGCCCAGAGCCTCCCCCCCCCTTTCCTATGGCGGCCCCCCCCCCCCCCCGGGGGAAAGTTGACCATCGTACTCATCTGAAAGACTCCTACGTTTCTTAAATTTGGTAAGACCTCTAACCGTGCGCTGTAGAATATTTGCCACAAAGAAAACAGCGAAGATGCACGCTCTCATCCACCGAACATTTGAGTTGTTTGTGGCGCAATGCATTTTGGTAAAAGGGAGCGCAGTGCACTCTGGTTAAATGCAATGCATTCTGGTAAAAAGTGATGAATTCGAGAATTCGTCCCACCTTATGCATTTCCCTTAAATCGCGTGTTACACGTTTCAACCCCTTAAACTTCCAATCAATTCCTTTTTTCTCTTTTTTTATTTTTTTATTAATAGAACAGAGTTAAATTCTTAAATTAGGAAATGTAAGGTTGTTAAAAGGAATCTTCAAAGAAAAGCTAAAAGTCACCCTTCTAACTCTGAAAATTTAATTGTTTGAATCTTCTGTGAGAACGGATGTCAGAATAGGCTGTTTAGGTTACAGGGTCCGGATTTAGTAATGCACGCTACTAAATACTTTTCTTGCTTAGGCAACTGATCAAAGCTTAAGAGCACGCACTGCTCATCACAACAACGTAATCGCTCGAGTAACTAAACACATGATCACAAATACTGAACGTTCTGTTCTATATTCTGTTCTATAAATAATGAGTAAAACACAACTATACATAGGATAACGCGTATGACAGAGAGTGTTTGCTTTCTTAGCTTCCTACGCAGGCGTTTTTAGGGGAGCTCGTCATTCGTCCCTTGTGGGAAGGGACGAAATACGAGCTCCCCTAAAAACGCCTGCGTGGGAGGCTAACGCTTTCTTAGAGTCGCCAGTGTTGTTGCATCTCCCCGTGACGCATCTTACTAGCATGGTTTACCTTTTTAACAGCAGTTTCAGTATGAAGAAAGAAATTTTTCTACACTTGCTTACTTGTGTCTAAAGTTATATAAAATAAGTGTTCCTTAAATTACGACATAGTTTTTTTAATGGACGTCACAGCTACTTTGTTTCCAAGGGGCTTCCGAAAGAAGACTAATTTATAGTGTGCCAAAATGATGGCAACTTTGAACGCTTCACATTTCAAAAAATCACATTGTGTTCAAATTGCAAAACATATGATTTTTTTCGGGGAGGCTCGTAGAAATGTGTACCTTTAATTAAAAAACAAAAATTTTTAGTTTATGGGCACTTTAAGAAGTGAGATACTAACACCAAAAAGGTAAGCTCAAGAAGTGCAATAGTCAAGCTTCTTCAACGAATTCTTGCTCCACGTTTTGAGGATAGGTTTTTATTGCCTTCTTGTCAACTCTCATTTCTACATCTGTATTTGTAGACGTAACGCAAAGGGTTGAAATCTCAGGATAGAATTTTCCCTCCTAGCGTTAGTCGTTGACTTAGGAGTAGTTACTAGATTTTTAATAAGTTTAACACATATTTCACTGCGATTTATTAATTCCTATAAGTATAAGCAACGATAATTGCATATATTTTTATTTATATTATCCCAACATTTTTTTTGTGTGTAATAATCAAATATAACTTGCCACAGTATTTATTCCATGCCATCAGATATTCATCTGATGTCATTTTGCATTTTCATCACTTGAGGTGTTTCGATACAGTTTTTCGGAAACCATACCGATATTTTTCAATCGCCTTAAAAGTGATTTTGTACAGATGACGTATTCTGCCATCGTTTGTTCAAATGCCTGCCCCTAAAAATGTTAGTAGATTTCATTATCAGGATGCAATTTACCTGCCTCGTGCGCAATCGCTCGCGATGGTTCTCGGGGTATTTAATTTGATTATCAAGAACAGCGAGACAAAGCAGGAAACGGAAGGGGAAGAAAAAAAATTGATAATAATGTTTTGCCCTCCTATCACCCCTTGGTCTTGCTCGTTCCCATTATTCTCCACTCAGGCCCAGGACTGCGCCGTGCAGAACCTTGAGAAAGCCTGCGCACGAGGGAACCTAACTGGTTAATACTCATCTCCATACTCCAAAATGACGTTGACACATTATTATTTATCGTAAAGGAATTCTCTACGAAGGAAGAAACCGCGTTCACTATTGATACTAGGGAATTTAAGATTCGCTACGGCAAGGGGCTATTACGGCTACATAAGGTCAAAAACATTTCCGGTGACGTCACCACGCGAGTTGCAGTACGGCTTTCCCGCCGTAGCCTCGTTTTCTGCTGCGTCAAATTGCCTTCTTTGCCATACTCTTCACTACGTGAGTATTAACTGTCATTTCTTTGCCATTTTAAAGCTTATTTCGCTTTTCTGAGAAGCCTACTTCAAAGACTAAGTACTTAGTCATACTAAGATATTCCTCACGTATTATTGCTTCGTTATTTAAGCGAAAACTCAAATGATTTGGATACCTTATAATCATGGCTGCAGACAAGAAAGCCTCGTAAGAGAGCTTATTTAAGCTTATAGAAGTTTTAGTTTCAATAAGTGATTGTCAAGATTTAATTTCACGAGTACCTATTAAAAAAATATTTTTATCTTTTGGCTTATCTGCCAGGGATGTTCTTAACAACTTGTTTCGCTTTTAGAATAAAATTTTATAATTTACCGCGCTAGAGCGAGCGAACGCTAGAAGAAGATAGGGGTCTACAGACGGACAAAAATGAGGGGACAACTGAGGGGCAACAAAGGGGTAACAAATTGTGGCGAACGTAAATGGGGCGAATCGCCTAACCCAACGAATTGAGTAAAGTGTTTAGACCGACATAATTAGGGCGAATTGCCTTACTCTAACAAGTCGAGGGTAGTGCTAAGGGTTAAATCATTCGAGGGCAGTGCTTAGGGTTAAATCAATCGAGGGCAGTGCTTAGGGTTAAATCAATCGAGGGCAGTGCTTGGGGTTAACTCCATTGAGGGCGGTGATTAGGGTTAAATAGAGTGGTCGCGCAAAAAGTAGTAAGGGTGAATTGTACGTTAGGTTTCAATGCAGATGGATTAATCCCTCGAGTCGATTGTCTAGGTCATGATAGTGAGCACGTTTTCGCCCATTGATTTGCTGACTCAGCAGAATTTGTTTCTATTTTTAGATGATGACGTCATCTTTTAGATTAATCCCTCGAATCGAATGTCTTGGTCATGACAGTGAGCACGTTTTCACACATTGATTTGCTGACTCAGCAGAATTTGTTTCTATTTTAGTTGATGGCGTCATCTTTTTAGATTACAATAGCGTATAAAAAGGGGACAACGCTGGGATAATTCATTTTGATTACGATACGTTGTACTGATCACAGCTATCACCATGCCGATTACTTATCCGAGACCGTGTCCAAAGTGTGGCAAGAAGTACAAGAACAGATTTGACTTTTGTCGTCATAAGAAATATTGTGGAACTAATTTGAAAGTTGCATGTTTACACTGTGACAAGTTGTTTTCGAGGAAGGACAAAATGACTGCCCACGTTAAAAAATTCCATTCTGAAGCAGCAAAACGGAAAGCTGAAGAAGGTGCCGAGCTCTTACGTCTAGAGTTATTGAATTCTGGAAAGGTACCTCGATTAGGTAATGAGGAACAGACAGGCGGGGCTGTGACTACCCGTGGAATGACAC